GAAAATATATTTCCAACTGAATCATGAAGATATATTTTTTGTTGTTGTTGGGTCTTAGATCGTGAAGGAAGTTAATGACTCATTTATCCAAGACTTTTCGGTGAATAACTTGATTTTGATACCCATTGGGACCTAGAGGAACCGAATGGCTACGTGGGCAAATGAACGCAGACGGCAAAGGACGAGCATTGAATGGTATAATTGAAGGATCATGAAGCCATAACTACCATTGCCCACATGAAGGACAGTGTTCGGTTCTATGCATGATTGGACTACAAGTAATGGAAGTTACAGCTTTTGAGTTACCCACTCCAAACCGAATCACGAGGTTAGAATCGAAATTTTCAAAAGTCAATCCGTTTATAACTCGAACCACATAAAATGTTCTCGTGAATGAAACCGATCGACTCCAAGGCAGAAATGAGACTGCTGCAACAAGTTATTGACAGAAGAGGAGTAGCATAGTCATACTTCAGGAAAGAAATTTTATCCAAGTTCAGATCTCACCAGTAAACCTTTACTTTGGGTGCAACCCTCCACGTTCACTCATGTGAAAACTATTCAAAGCTTGATGCCCGGGTAGGTTCGGGTGGTCCGTAAGAAGTTCATTCTCTCATCATAAGATAAAATTAAAACCAATTCAGAGTGTTTGAGTTAACTTACGCACACTTCCATTAATTCTCTTCCCAATTTGTCAAAGGCAGACTATTTACACTAAAATTAGGATATTCATGAACTATAAATTCCTCATGTTTTGTTGCTAATATTGTCAAGATTAAAATTTATAATATCTAAGTTTACATCTTACCTCTACTATCACTTAAGTTACCACTTGAGGTTATGAGATAAAATCTCCTGAAAATAAAGAGGTGATGTTTACTTTCCGATACTATCTTGAACAACACCTAAATAATGGTCAAAGGTGAAAGTGTATGTTTCAAAAAAAGTTTAGGAACTCTTTTCTTTTTTGCTTATAATAGTTTCCATCTCTAAGTGTTGAATGACATTATTATTATTTTCATGATATATCATCTTTTTTTTTTATTATTTTGAAAATACCCTAATTGAGGTTTATTTTCCAATAAAATGGGACGATTTTTTAAGGTTTGACGAGTTAGTACCTCAGAATTTCAATTTTGAATCTTATAAGAAAATTCTAGTTTATTATATATACTCGATTTAAGGATGATTTTTTAATCCTAAATTATGTAACTGTCATTAAGTTCTAACTTGAATCGAGTTTTGATTACATATAAAAGTGAATATATCTACTAGGTTCATGTTTAACGGGTTTTCATTGTAAAACTCAAATTTATAGTGAATTATTTGAACAGATGAGCACTTGATCCGGCTATTTGTTCAATGTCTTCGGATATCCATATAATTCTTAGACTGAATTGACTCTTTATTGATGCTCGCCGACAGTGGAGTCTCAAGTAGACATCAGAGAACCCATTAAGGTGAATTGCATAAGCTGTAGCCCGTCAAGAAAAAGCAGCATTGTTCAATGTCTAATTAAGTGGACATTAAACAATGCTGTGCATAAACTGTACTGTGTTGGGCAGCAGCAAGGATGTGTGGTCATAGTCATATCCATTGAACTCTTTTTTTTTAATGGTCAGGAGGTATACGAGTCAGTTTACGCTTATCTAGATTAATCTCCTCTCTAGAGTAATTAAAGATAATTTGATTCAAAGAGATTATCAAGATTCAAATTCAGGACATTTGAGTTTATAACTCGTCTCTGCTACCACTTGGGTTACTCCTTGAGATTATATTCTTTATACTATCTTTGAGCAATTACTTTTCTAGATTTTTGGCAAAGGGAAAAATAGGGTACATAACACTGTATACTATGAATTTGGTAATATTAGTTGTGTTACACTATGAATTTGCTAATGTCAAACGTGTTGCTTCTAGGTAAAGAACACCTACCCTTAGTCAAGTTAAAATTGAATAATTTGAATACGGACGCATGGGTTTGTTTAGAATTCGAATTTAATCTTGGTGAGAGGTTTATATTAGGATGACTATTCCCTTAAACCAAACAAAAAATCCCAAATCAAATCATATATGTAACCAGAATAAAACTGTTAATATGTCAGTTTTGTTGCTTTCTTTAGTAATAGGACAGAAGGAAATGAGTCAAAAAAATTAAGTAAATATTTAAGGACAGGTTTTCTGTGATTAGCGAGTCCCTTGTCCTCCCCAAGATCAATGTATCAACGATGGTTTAAAGCAGAAAGAAAAAGCAGGAACTGTTTAGAGGGACATTAGTGAATGTTGGTACATCTTAATATCTATATATTATATATATAATTCATTGTAGAACCGCTGTTCTTTATCAGCAACAACATGCCAGCTTTGATAACTTGGATAATTCCTAGTCTGTCTTATATGAAAAACAAAAAATATAAAACCAATTCAATATTTACTAATAAAAGTATTTGAGGTTTGTAACGCGTCATTATATTAATATATTAGATCAAATTTTTATATCTAAATAAGACTAATCATTGATAATTAATGTGAGAATATAATGGTTAAGACACTGACATTAGTGTGGCAGTTTATTTCGTGAAAGGTTTTGAGGGCTGGCAATCTATAGGTGTCTTTAGGGGTGTCAACCTATCGTGACCTGTCATTTTTATGTCGTGTTATTTTTTGCCTTATTATTTTTGTGTTAGACTACTTTAGATAGTTTGTATCAATATTCGTATTAATAAAATATTATTTAATATCACAACAGCTTATATAAAAAATTATAAAATTTTTATTTTTTATCTACAGTACTAGCTAAATACTTATTTTTTATTTATAGTATCTGTTAATTGTATTATTCGTGTCGAACTTTAATTTGACCTATTTATTATTCATGTCAATTAATCGTGTTATTTTCGAATTTTATATCGAATCGGGTCGAGTTTTTGTTAATGGATAAAAATAACACTCCTAGGTGTCTTATCCTATTCTTAAAACATATGCACTATGTCATATCCAATTTATTTATGATTGTATTGTTAATTATGTTAGTTTGTGTTTATTTAGATTTAGATTTATGTTGAGCATTGGACTGTTAGTCTAATGATATTTTTTATCTTATGAAAATTTTATATTCTTAAGTTCAGAGGTTTAAGTCTTCTCTCTTCCTCTCCTTCCAAAAAAAATATATGTATATATATTTAGATTTATGTTAACTCGGTTACTAAGTACACTTAAGGAGCAACTTATATATAATTTGAATCCGTTCTTACCATTAACTTTGAGTTATGTTATTGATATTTAATTTCTTAACCTAATGATGTGTCAACTGATAGAGTTTAATGACAAAATTTAAAAATTACATTCAAAGCATTATTATTGGACTATGTCACTGTTATATCATTAAATTAATAAATTATGCTAATTTTTTAGATTCTAATAGCATTACTTATTAATATTTTATCAATTTTTTGTTGACGGATTGGTGTATTGTGTTAAGAATGATCAACCTTAAAGTTTTTGGTCCTTCTTTCAAAGAGGTGGAGAAAAGTGACAATTGAATATTTTTGATTATTTAAAACTCATACAACTTAATATTTTAAATATTTCTTAAAAATAAACTAAAATTTTAAAAAATAAATCATCTACTTATCACTTAATACTGAAAATATTTGTTCTTAAGGAGTTTATAAATTTCTTATAATGGACAAATATACAATCAATGTATTTTACATTCTTCTCAATACCCATTCTCCACCACCATTGTGTTGTCGCTACCATTACTACCATTGTGATGCCACCACCACTAGCATTCTATCTTCGCCACCATTATCAACACTACCACTACCACTACCACCACCGTCACATTCATTGTGTCGCCACAGCCACCACCACTATCATTGTATCACCTCTACTATAACTATCATCGTTACCACCATTGTGCCGTCGCCGCCACCACCACCATTGTAATGGTGGTAGTGGGAATAAGGTAGTTGTGGTGAGATAATTAAAACGAATGGTACAATTCAAATAATAATAATTTTCAGACTTTAACTTTTTATATTTATCAAACAATTTAATTCAACTCAATACTAATATTTCAGTACATATCAAACAACTTATAAATTAAAAAATTTAGTATTCAGTCAAAAATCACCATAAAAACTGAATCCTAAAAACTAAATGTTAAATTTTTTAATTCGCAAACTGTCTGGTATCAATTGAAATTTAAGTATTGAATTGAATCAAACTGTTTGATAAATATAAACAGTTAAAATCTAAAAATTGTTATTATTTTAATTTTACCATTTTTTTTAATTATCTCTCTGCACTATCTTATTCGTACCATCACCATCAGAATGGTAGCGATGGTAGTTGTAGCAACAACACACTGGTGGTGGCCATGGTGGTGACGATGGCAACGACACAATAGTGATGGTGGTGGTGGCACAACGATCGTAGTGGTGGCAGTGGTGGATATTAAAAAGTTAAGAGTATATAATATGTTGAAGGTATATTTATCAATCATGATAAATTGATAAAATCTTTAGTGTAACATTAAATGATATAAATTTTAGGTTTGTCAAATAAGTTTAATTCATTAAGTAATTTTTTTTTAATCATATTGATTAAGTGCTTAAAACATTCAATTTTAAATTTTAAGTGGTGTTATCAAACAGGTTATGTCTAATAATCTCTCCCATCTTGCAATCTTTTACCTAAGTAAGATTTTCCCCTCCAATTTTATTCTCTCGCCAAATTAATTTTCATAGAATACATGGTAATAAATTCATTTTAATCTTCACGGGAGGTACAGATTTGCCTTAAAAAAACGAAGTACAAAGCGCTGTCAACTAAAAAAGTCTATTGTTCAGAGTAGTTGATACAAACTTTTACACCATCTAATCCAAACAAAAAAAAAAAAAGTGTAATTCTGTCATTTGATTTTACCTATTGATCCAATTAATATATTTATCCTATCTTTACCTTTCTTCTCTCCTCTCTCTCTCTCTCTCTCTCTCTCTCTCTCTCTCTCTCTCTCCTGTGTAAGTTGTGTTATATATAAAGAGCAGAAGCTACACTCTTCTTTGCTGATATCAGTCAGAAATGGGTCGATCACCATGCTGTGATAAGGTTGGCCTAAAGAAAGGGCCATGGACGCCTGAAGAAGATCAGAAACTCTTGGCTTACATTGAAGAACACGGCCATGGAAGCTGGCGTGCCTTGCCGACAAAAGCAGGTGATTACTCAGATACTTCTTTAATAATCATATCATATCATATTAAAACTGTTCAACATGGTGAACTAATACAGCTTAATTAACACAATTCTTGCTGTTTCTATAGGCCTTCAGAGATGTGGGAAGAGTTGCAGACTAAGGTGGACAAATTACCTTAGGCCTGATATTAAGAGAGGAAAGTTCAGCTTACAAGAAGAACAAACCATCATTCAACTCCATGCCCTTTTAGGGAACAGGTTCAGTATATATATATATATGTGTATACTTTCTTCCTATGCATGTATCCTCCATTACCTATTGATCCATGTTCTTTGCAAAAAGTGAAGATGTATAATTTGAAACTTTTCTGACCCCCCCCCCCCCCCCCCCCCCCCCCCAACACAAAAAAAAAAAAAAAAAAGCCCCCAAAACCTCAATCTTGAATTTCAATCATTCGGGTTTTCTTGGAAATTAATCATTTTTTCAGGGACTACCTGAATTCCACGAGAGAACTTTTTTGAGCATAGCGAACGCTTAGAGTTTTTTGTACTCATACATTTCCCGAAATTTTTCTCACCTCCTTTTAAATTTGAACTCCAATCTGGAACTTAGCAAACCCTTTCAGGTTGTTGGTTAGGACTAGATGCATCAAATTACTCCATTATTGCAGAAAGAGTACAAGAACATGTTTATTTTTCATATGTACACAAAATTTTGTGTCAGAGTTTTAATGGGCTCTCTCAATTACACTTCACTGAACAGTCTTGCTCATTTACCCATTCTGGGGTACAAATTCTGACCAAAAATTTTGAAACAGGGTATCTGCCAGTATGCATAATTCACTGTGAGAGACATTCAATTACTGTCAAATTAGAATTTAAAATTTGGCTATGAATAACAAAAGGGTTTTTTTTTGTTTTTTTATTTTTTATTTTTTGTATTTTTCCTCAACATGACACAGAAAATGAGGCATCTTTCTTGTACATCGTTCTCGAAATTTTTGTCTGTATAGGTAGGTTAAGAGAACTATGTAGGTGGGAATTGCTTGTCGAACTGATAGGTGGAATCAAGGGTTTTGTTTTGTTCTTGTAGTGACGCACTGTCTTTTGTATGTTGTCTTGTCCTCAGGTGGTCGGCCATAGCCACTCACTTGCCCAAGAGAACAGACAATGAGATCAAGAACTACTGGAACACTCATCTTAAGAAAAGGCTGGCGAAAATGGGGATTGACCCAGTGACCCACAAACCCAAAAACGATGCACTCATGTCCAGTGATGGCCAGTCCAAGAATGCTGCTAATCTTAGCCACATGGCTCAGTGGGAAAGTGCCCGGCTCGAAGCAGAAGCAAGGCTGGTTAGGCAGTCAAAGCTACGTTCAAATTCACTTCAGAATCCTCTCCGGTCGCCGGAACTTGTCCCGACTTCTAGCCCTATTAACAAGCCGGTGGCCGGACCACCGAGGTGTCTTGATATACTAAAGGCTTGGAATGGTACTTGGACTAAGCCAAATGAAAGTGACAGTGGTGGTGTTGGTGTTGGTATTAGTCTTACAGTTGCCGGAATCGGCAACGATCTCGAGTCTCCGACTTCTACACTAAGCTTCTCCGAGAATGCACCACCGATAGCCACCACCGGAATTGGAGAGAGCTCCACCACTTTCATTGAGTTTGTTGGCAATTCAGGGTCTTGTGAAGAGGGTGGAGTTCCGAAAGAAGAAAGTGAAGAAGATTGGAAAGGGTTTGGAAGCTCAATTCATTTGCATGAGTACAAAGATGGAATGGACAGTACAATTTCAATGTCCTTCACTTCTGGACTTCATGATATGCCAATCTCCATGGAAAGTGCATGGGCTCCTCCTGAGTCACTCAGGTCTAGTAACGAGCATGTTCCTACAGGCAATTTTGTGGAGAGGTTCACTGACCTTTTGCTTAATAATTCTGGTGGCCGGAGTTTCTCCGAGGGTGGTGGAGAGTCCGACGATGGTAGTGGCAGTGGCAGTGACTACTATGAAGATAACAAGAATTACTGGAACAGTATTCTTAATTTGGTCAATTCTTCTCCATCTGATTCACCTTTGTTCTAAAAGGATCCGTCTGAGAGAAAAAAAAAAAAATAGCTTCGTCTTATTCAACAGTGTCACAGCCATTCGTGATCAGACTGCATTTTCATTTGGAGTGTGGAAAAATCATGTAGACTCTCTCTCTCTCTCTCTCTCTCTCTCTCTCTCTCTCTCTCTCTACTCTGATGTGAATTGTCAATAGCTCAGTGTGTCAACTCAGGCAAGTTAATTGCAATATTGATCAAAATAATTATAATAATAATGCTCTTATGCCTCTTTCAAGTGATTACAGGAACGAGTTTGAAACTCAAACGTTTTGATTTCGAATTATCGTAGCGTGGATTATCTACTTTTGACTAGATCGAAAAAAAAAATTAATTAAAATATGCATAAATTAGCTCGAATATCGTTGACCGTTGAACCAAAAAAAAAACAGTAATGTCAAAAAGAAGCCAACTCAATTTGGTTCAACTTAGTTAAGGCTTACAAATTTCGGTTTATCTCTCCACTTTTGATATTAATTATTCCTTCTATGGTGTCCACAGTGGGGAAAGTCTCATGGATATACATACAGTCTAATACTGATATAATTGTAGAAAAGGAAATAACAAAGTAGCCCATAAACTATTCTCTGAGTCGATTATCGAAATTATGGACGTGTTCCAATGAATGATGCATTAACTATGGACTTTACTGCTGTTGGTTTCACGTCACATTCTTGTTTAGCAGAAATATCCAAACGCTATCAAGAAAGTTTGAAAGAAAGACAACGCCTTCAGAAAAGAAATGAAAAAATATCTATAATCAAAACACATAGACTTAATTTCAACCACAAGAATGCATAATATATATATATATATATATATATATATATATATATATATATATATATATATATATATATATATATATATATATTTATAGAGAGAGAGAGAGAGAGAGAGAGAGAGAGAGAAGCAGAGAGAGCATCACTTTGGCTTTCACTTCAAAAAATATTTTGGCCTGGTGAATGATCTTTGGTGATTTTGGATTAAAATGGTCCATATTTAAAATAGATATACGTGTGTGTGCGCGCGCGCATACATATATCCAGCAATGAGATTTGGTTGTTGGCAGATGGCAACACTAATGTATATAGGTCTTTTTTCTTCTTCATAATGATAAGCTAATTGTGACAAGCTAATTTTATACATGACTACTAAAATCTTTGTAGACCAGAAGTATTAGTAATCAATGAGGTCATGCTTTGAAAATCTAATCTTGCTTATTATTCTGTTGAGCTTTCCTCAATCATATGACCACATTTTCCCACAAGTAGTTTTATTTTTCTTGGACCCCAAACAAGTATAGAACCTGTTCAAGTATTACAATAAAATGCTACTAACTTAATGTGAATGGTCCATTCTTTCTTGGTTGATGCTTAAACTGCATCAACAATTATTATAATTCCTTAGTTTGAAAACTTTAAAGAATAGTTAATGCTGCTATCTGATGAAATTAAAACCAATAATTCTAAGGTGTAGTTTAAGTAGTAACAAGAACGAAATATAAATTCAAACGTGTTAAGTTCAAATCCTGGTAATCCCTTGGGACCAGGCCATAAATGATTTATCTCTCATAAATCCTTGGGACCAGGCCATAAATGATTTATCTCTCATAAATACGCTAATTCTAACATGGATTGATTGTCTTTGACTATATTAGAGATAAGATTAATCGAGATACACGTAAATTGACTCGTACGTTCCTGACCATTGCAAAAAAAAAAAAAATTAAAATAAATTATTTTATGACAAAGACTAATAATCAGAAACACTATTAATCATGAGGAAAAAAAAAAAGCACTATTAATTATCATGAGTGACCTAATTGATGGCCTGTCTATCATCTGATAAAGAAATGAGACCAAGTTGTTATCACTAGGGTTAGGGTTCTAATAATATCTAACGTTTGATCACGAAACGAGACCACAAGACTATCAACTGGGATTAGGGTTTTAATAATATGAAAGCACATAAGCTTATTTGACTGACTGTTACCATAATCTCATTTGATTTCATTCTTCATATAGATATATGCCTTTGATTGAACCGGAAAAAAAATTAGTCAAGATACGCATAAATTAGTCTAGATACTCTTAACCATAATACCCAAAAAAAAAGAAGAGAATAAATGACAAACTAATAAAAATACCGAATAAAGAACTTATTTTTGGAAAGTAACTAAATAAACTTTCAGCCTCGAATGGTTATGAATTAGGGTAACGTGTTAGGTTACGTATCAATTTTACTGGTTTGGAGTAAATGATAGAGTTGGACAAATACATATACCAACAGAAAATAATGGAGCATGGTCATATGCAGCCTTTAGGTTGCATTATTGAACTGCCAGTGATCAGGACCAAACAGTCTAACCATAAAATTATTGAATGGTTCTCGCACTAATAGAGTCTTAATAAGAAAAATAATAGCAGGTGCATTGAATGAGATCCAAGTCCAATAGTTAATATGCTAAGTCTCTCACTTGTGGTGGAAAAACATCGTTGTTATAAATTCGACAAAACAAAGGAAAATATCAAACAAACTAACTAACATAAACAAACCACACAAACTAGAACCCACTGAACCATACATATCATAACGGATTAATATCGCATACTCGGTATCTCAAACATATCGAGACGTAAAATACCTCTTAGTTGTCGAGGCATGTGTGCACCACCCAAGTACATGGTTGTCTATAGAGGGGACTTATATTATTTACAGTGTATAGAATATACTTCTATGTAATTACGATTAGTTGAAATCATTTACGAAGGGCCCTTCAAATACAAGTACTATTGGAGCTAGAGTTCGAATCCCACACCATAGCCTAACAATTAAAAAAAATAAAAAGCACCATAAACTAACTCAAAATCCAAGCCATAGTAACCAGCTACTAGGTCCGAAAGAATAATCGTCACGTGGTAAAGTAAGAAACAAACTGTTAGAGCATGTGTGGCTCATATTTGCTGTGTGCATAATGACAACGAGGCAGATGCCGGAGCGGGCAGAGCCCGCGACGGCATCTGCCTTGCGGGATTTATATAAAGGGGACGCTGATTAGTTGGGGGTGCGGGGGCAACGCTCCCGCGGTACGGTACAGGGATATTTTTGTAAATACGTCCATATTAGGGTTATAAAAATACTTAAGATGTAACCCTACTTCAATAATAGAAAAGAACGGCCGCTCGCTCTCGTGGATGTAGGCATATTGCCGAACCACGTAAATCTCTGTGTGTTATTTTCTCCTGCTTTCTTAATTGTTTGATTCTTTACTATTCACCATAATTGTTGCACGATCACAACAATTGGTATCAGAGCTAGACTACGATGTCTGGGATTTCCTCTACAAAATTCGACATCATGAAGTTCGACGGAACTGGAAATTTCGGATTATGGCAGAGGAGGGTGAAGGACCTGTTAGTGCAGCAGGGCATGATGAAGGCATTATACGAAAAACAACCGGCAGGAATGGACGACATGAATTGGAAAGAATTGGAAGCGAAGGCTGTGGCAACTATTAGGCTTTGTCTGGCTGATGAAGTGATGTATCACGTCATGGATGAGGAATCACCAGCGGAAGTTTGGTTGAAACTGGAAAGTCAGTATATGTCCAAGTCGTTGACGAACAAGCTCTATCTTAAGCAGAAACTATATGGTCTTAAGATGTCAGAGAGCTCGGATTTGACCCAACACATCAACGTGTTCAATCAGATCATCAGCGATCTGAAGCGAGTTGATGTGAAATTCGAAGACGAAGACAAGGCGCTGATGTTGCTGAATTCCCTACCGACGTCTCTTACGTACGAGAATTTGGTTACGACTCTGATGTGGAGGAAAGAAACTCTCGAATTGGAGGATGTCACAGGTGCTCTGTTAGGTTTTCATCAGCGGAAGAAAGCCAGTGATGAGGCTTCACAAGGTGAAGGGCTTGTGGTGAAAGGTAACCAGGAACGTGGAAGAAGCAAATCTCGGAATGGATCGGGTAACAATAAAGCCCGGTCCAAGTCGAGGAAGAAGAAGAAGGACGTCTCTGTCTCGTGTTACAAGTGCGGGAAAAAGGGGCACTTTAAACGGGACTGTCCAGAGAAAAAAAAAGGGGATTCAGAGAACAAAGAGGGTGCATCAAAGTCTGCAAACGTAGTGGAAGAAGAAGATTCAGAGAGTGGTGACGGAGATATGCTTTCTGTTTTATCTAGTTCAGATCGTTTAACAGATTCTTGGATTATGGATTCAGCATGTTCCTATCACATGACACCCAACAAAGATTGGTTTGACACCTACAGATCAGTAAATTCTGGTTGTGTTCTGATGGGTAATGATGCATCTTGAAAAGTTGTTGGAATAGGAAATATTAGAATTAAGATGTTTGATGGTATGGTTAGAACGCTGTGTGATGTTAGACATGTACCGGATCTAAGGAAGAATTTGATTTCATTGGGCACTTTGGATTGTAATGGTTATAATTACAAATCTATAAGTGGAGTAATGAAAGTAAGTAAAGGCATGCTGACAGTGATGAAGGGACAGAAAGTAGTAGGAAACATTTACAGACTGCTGGGTACTACAATTGTAGGTGGAGTTGCTGCTGTAGAGTCTGAATCAGATAATACAGTCTTGTGGCATATGCAGCTGGGTCATATGAGTGAGCGTGGGATGATAGAGCTTCATAAGAAAAATCTATTGAAGGGTGTCAAGACATGCAAGCTCAATTTTTGCAAATATTGTGTTCTTGGAAAACAGAATAGGGTGCAGTTCAAGACAGCCACACACAAGACAGAGGGGGTTCTCGACTATGTCCATACAGATGTTTGGGGACCAGTTAGCGTACTATCACGGGGAGGATACATGTATTTCGTGAGTTTCATTGATGATTACTCACGAAAGGTCTGGGTGTACTTCATGCGGCACAAGTCAGAAGCGTTTGCCAAGTTCAAGCTGTGGAAAGCTGAAATAGAGAACCAAACAGGGAGGAAGATTAAATGCCTCAGGTCAGATAATTGTACTGAGTACACAAATTCAAAGTTCCAGGAGTTGTGTGAGCAGCATGGGATCAAGAGACACTTCACAGTCTGCAAGACACCACAACAAAATGGTGTAGCAGAAAGGATGAACAGAACGATAGCCGAGAAAGCTCGGTGTCTCAGGTTGAATGCAGGGCTTGCAAAGAATTTCTGGGCAGAGGCAGTGAATATGGCATGT